TCTCGGCCAGCTCCACGTGGGCCTGCTTGCCAGCGTAGTCAGCGGCCGCGCGGGTCAGCTCCTTGGTGATGACCAGCTGCGAGATGTCGATGCGGTTGCACAGCAGGTCCGAGATGACGTCCTGTGCGTGGGACACGGCGCCCTCCGGGTCTCTGTGGGCCGGATGGGGCATAACCAGTGGCTGCTGAGGGCCAGGCTGGCACCTCCACGCCCCCAAGGCTGGGGACCAGGACGGGCTCCGGGCTGAGGTCCAGGACGGGGGCGTCTGCTCAGCCACAGGCTACAACCCCACAGCTGCCCAACCCCCCACGCTTCCCACCGCTTCTCACTGACGAAAAGCGGGCCTGACTCCCGTGTCCCCAAGGGAGGAGGGGCGGGCTCCCGGGTCTGAGGGCAGGGGGCCTGGGGTCTGGATCCAGGGGTCTCATCTCACACACCGGTCGATGAGCAGGCGGCGAAGTGAGGCGGTGACGAGGTTGGCCACCAGGGGGCAGTTGTCCCTGCGCACGGCCTCCAGGCCTTTGCAGTCCATGCGGTCATGGGTGTCCGGCCGGGAGGAGAAGAGCAGGCCAGCATAGCGCTTCTTGCTGATGAGCAGGTAAGGGAAGTAGACCTGGGGGGGGACCCGTGGCTGAGGCCCCTGAGACTGCAGGGTGTCCAATCCTGAGACACCCCCCAGAAAGTGACAGGCAGGTATGGTTCCTGAGATGTGGGTCTGGGATGCCTGGGGGACTGGACCCTGAGACCCCAACACCTGAGCCCAGGAACACCCTCAGCTTTCCAGGGAACCCCACACCAGGGACCCCAAGTCTAAAACAGAGGCTGGGACAAACCTAGAAACAGGCCCCAAACATGAGATCCAGACTCTAGGCTAAAGCCTTGAAAGCCCCAAATCTGGGTCTGGGACAGAAGCTGAGGCAGAAGAGGGCACCCCTAGAGAGGAGACCAAGGCCCGGAGTGAGCCCCAAGGCTCTGATTCCAAGAGCAGGGGTGCCCCTGGCCTGACCTGGTTTGAATCCTGAGGATAAAGTCCGGTGAGAGCCCCCCCCCACGCCAGCCTGCCATACACCAGGAGCCGGGAATCCCAGACAATGGCTCCCTGACCCAGGCCTGGCCCGTCAGAGTCCCCACCACCCAGGATAGACCCCCGACAGGTGCTGGGAAACCACACCAGAGGAGCCCCAGACGGACCGGTTGTCACCAAACAGCACACAGCGTGCGGAGCCCAGGCTTTGGCGGTTTCGATAGCCAAGGCCCCGAACTCAGGAGGATCCGGCAGCAAAATACCTTGACATGGGGGCCCATGAACCCAAAGAACGGGACACCCCAAGTACCCTGATCGGGCACCCCAAAAGGGAGACCCTGCCAACATTGGGGTTTCCCAGATGCTGACCAGGGGAACCCCAAATGTAGGCACCTGTGAGCTTTGCAGGCACCCTGAGAAAGAGGCCCCCCTGCAACTGCCAAGACCCTCCCTCACCCGCCCACCCCAAGCTCAGGGCGAGGGCCTTACCTTCTCAAACTCCAGCCGGATGGGGGAGGGGAAGTGGCCGGACACCCAGTCTGCAGCCTCCCGCCCCAGCGCCATCGCTTCCGCCACGGAGGAGACGCCAAACCGGCACATGACGGAGTCGGTGTCGCCGTACACCACCTGGCGGGAGGGGCGTGTGACCGAGGGCCCGTGCTCCCCGCACCAGGCCCATCCCGGGCCCATCCCGGGCAGTGACCTTGGCACTGGCGCTGTAGCCGTTCTCCACGGTGTACTTGGACTCCACCAGCTGCTTCGTTTTCTCAATCATCTGGCGGCCAAACCCCGTGACGCTCTGTTGGGGAGAGAATCATGCGGTGAGGGCTCAGGAGCTGTGTGTAGCGGACACGCACTTGGGGGCCCACCTCCACGGCTCCCTGTAGGTGTGGGCCTGGGCAAGCCATTCTATCCCAAATCTGCCAAGTGGGGCTACTGAGCTGCT